ATGATAAATTTAAGAAAAAAATGTATTTTTCCGCAAAAAACGAAAAAAGTTTATCTAGAGTGATTCAAATTTATAAATTTTGACGTATTTTTACGTGTAGATTACAAAAAAAAGCGAGGATGATTGGAGTTGATTTTTCTGGGGCTGTCAAGAAAAAAATGATAATTTTAGAAAAAATCATGAATTTTTTCCGAATAACGAAAAAAATTTTATCTAAAGGACTTCAAATTTACTATTTTTACGTATTTTTATGTGTAGATTATAGAAATAACTTAATAAACATGATAAGAAGTGGAAAAAGTGGACTTTTTGCTTAAGTTTATTTATTCAGTATTCATAACTCTAAAATAAAACAAGGGTTTCTTTATGTTCATTTCATAAAAATTTGGCTACCTCGCGGAGGAAGCAATTATTTTGTTTAACTCATTTAGGTGATTTAAATTCAATTAAAGCACAAAATTTTATAGCCAAAATGCGAATTATTGATTTTTTAACTTTCATTAATTTATTAAATTTACCTCAAATGAACCTCATTTACTCATTTTTGTATCACTTTTATTATTTAACATACAACACATATTTTTCAAATATTTGTTTTTATACCAAATAAGTTCGCTTCGAGTACGGAACCCTCGATTTCAGTGCGAGTGTAACTCGCACTTGTCCGATTTTTTTATTATGTAAAGTAAAATCAGTTTTTATTTAATATTTTCAATGTTATGAAGATTTAAACACCAATAATTTATATTGAGAGTTGATTCCCTTTGTGTATTTTTACTCTAAAAATCACAAACATAAGCTACAATTTTTTGCCTTTCCTTGGAGCGCGTCACATATACAGTTACTTTTTTTGCCTGTAGATTACAGGAAAATTATAGCGAACACGATTGGCATTATTATATAGCGTCGTGGAGAAATAACATAAAAGCTGAGCTTTCTAAAATGCAACAGTGTTATGTAAAACATTGATGAACAGTTTAATAAACTTAGTTTTTTAATAATTTTTTTTAGATTTTATATTCTTAATAATTTTCAAAAAAATACAATTGTTTGTGAATAAGTCTATCACGTGATAATCAGAATAAGTGAAGTTAATTTGAATAAAGTGTCAATAGATTTTCTTGGAAATACTTTATTATGTCAGTAAGGTAGGTTCATTTCTATTTACAATATAGAGTACTTTTTAATTTTGTATTTTTACATTATCATTTTTAGCGTATGGTAAGTTGTTTCACCTTGGATGGAAGTTCCATATCAAGTCAGTGTATTTCTTATTTAATAATTATTCAAGATACATGCTTTCTTTCAAACATTTGCGATATTTGATATCTGCTTCTAAGTTTATTTGGAAAATATCTTCTTTTGTATGAAATTTTATTAGTCGCTCTACTTTTATTGATGTTTTAAATATTATTTAAATATTGCAATGATAACAATTTAAACATTAATGTTTATTAAAAAACTGCTGTTGGCCAATTCATCCGAAATGTACATGTAAGATGGCCATTTTTTAAAATTATTTTAGCTTTTTAATTTACATCAGATTTTGCTTGAAAATAAATTATACAGCTTTTCTTTTCTTCTAAACGCAGAAAAAAAGGAACTCAAAAATAAGAACCGTATACGCTTTTCATTTTGACGTGCAGTAAGAATGATCTGGTTTGACTCTTTTTGAGTTTTTAGCGAAATGTTTCAAATTAAACTCGAAATTAAAGTCTTAAAAAATTAATACATTAGCCCCTTCACCCACAGAAAAAACCTGAACTCAAAATGATAGCGTATGCTACTCATTTTGATATGCAGCAAAAATGAGTCAGGTTGGTGGCGCCACTGTCTATGTCGTTTAGCATTGACTCATTTTTGATGCATATCAAAATGAGACTATGTTTTTTCTGTGCCCCCATGGGACATATACGACTCACCTACGAAAATCGTAATATCTTCAACAAAAATTAATATATATACACTACCGTCGGAAATTGTCGGTACGATTGACGTGCGCGGGATGAAATGTTGATGTCGCACCTAAATTAAGATATTTTAAGTTTGAGAAAAGCTAGAGACTTGAAACTTAGATCACCTGAAAGCTGATAAAATTCTGCTTCTGAATATATACCTAGAATTTCTTTTCGACTTTCTGGAGCGATTATAACACTGGAAAGATTTCGAAAAAAAAACGTCTAATTTTCCCAATTTCGTACCCAGTTTTTGATTCCCTGCATAATCTAGGAAAATGCAAGGAAAAATTTGTAACTCCTACAACATAATCTTTAAGATCTTAGCTTTAAAAGTAATTTTTAAGACTTAAAAAATATTGTTTCGTTTTTGAGATAAGTTGAAAAATGTCAGAGCATGTTTTTTACACAACTCAGCGTCAAAGATTAGTTCTTGCATCCCCGCTGCTTCGCCCGTTCCTTGCGCCAGGGCCGAATATGCGTGCGGGCCCCTGCTTGAAACCCGTCTTGTATTTTCTTACATTTACAGTTATTGATTATTATAAATGTTATAAATATTTTATTATTATTAATATTTTCTGAAAATGCACTTTCTGCCCTTTTAATCGAGACTAATTTTTGTATCTACATTAAAACTTTTGGTTAAATTTTACCTAAAATATAACATTTTTTAAATAAATTAATTAATATTCTAATAATCAATAACTGTAAATGTGAGAAAATACAAGACGGGTTTCAAGCAGGGGCCCGCACGCATATTCGGCCCTGGCGCAAGGAACGGGCGAAGCAGCGGGGATGCAAGAACTAATCTTTGACGCTGAGTTGTGTAAAAAACATGCTCTGACATTTTTCAACTTATCTCAAAAACGAAACAATATTTTTTAAGTCTTAAAAATTACTTTTAAAGCTAACAAGTAACACTACCCAAGTGCCAATCGCCGATTGACGTGAGTCTTTGCGCATTTTTTAGAGGAGCTAAAAATATTTGATACGTACATTTTTATATCGGCAATGAAGATGTTTTAAGGGTTAAAAACAGGGGTTGAAAAGTCATATTTTGAGTGGCAAAATATACATATCATGATCATTAAAGAAAGTTTAATTAAAATCATTATTTCATTATTTAAAAAATGTTTGACACTTCTTTCTTGATTTCCTAAAAGATACTGTTCGGTAGAAATTACCGTTATAAACCTTTTTGAATGGGGTGAGTGAAACCTTTAACCCTTTAAGGCCAGGTCCAAGTCGTGTCAGCTGTTCCATTGAAACTTCAAAGGAACAGCTGACTCGACTTGGACATGGCCTTAAGAACCAAATATACAAAATTTTTGCATGATTTCACAACCAATATTTCAAAGTGATTTGAATCGCTTGAAACTTGTTACTCGGGGGTTTTCGGGGTCGCTGATTACGAATTCGATGTCAGTTTTTCAAAATTCAAAATGGCGGATCCAATATGGCGGAAGACATTTTGAAAATCAACTGCAATTTGATTGAAACTTGTTACTCGGGGGTTTTCGGGGTCGCTGATTACGAATTCGATGTCAGTTTTTCAAAATTCAAAATGGCGGATCCAATATGGTGGGCGAAAAATTGGGAAAGGGGTGATTATAATTTCGTAACGAAACTCATGTAGAATAGATAAAAAATAAAGTATCTGTGGATTTTTAAGGTTCCTAATTAGGATTCTAAAATCAATTTTCAAAATTGCAAAATATTCGTAATCAGCGACCCCGAAAACCCCCGAATAACAAGTTTCAATCAAATTGCAGTTGATTTTCAAAATGTCTTCCGCCATATTGGATCCGCCATTTTGAATTTTGAAAAACTGACATCGAATTCGTAATCAGCGACCCCGAAAACCCCCGAGTAACAAGTTTCAAGCGATTCAAATCACTTTGAAAAATTGGTTGTGAAATCATGCAAAAATTTTGTATATTTGGTTCTTAAAGGGTTAAAGGTTTCACTCACCCCATTCAAAAAGGTTTATAACGGTAATTTCTACCGAGCAGTATCTTTTAGGAAATCAAGAAAGAAGTGTCAAACATTTTTTAAATAATGAAATAATGATTTTAATTAAACTTTCTTTAATGATCATGATATGTATATTTTGCCACTCAAAATATGACTTTTCAACCCCTGTTTTTAACCCTTAAAACATCTTCATTGCCGATATAAAAATGTACGTATCAAATATTTTTAGCTCCTCTAAAAAATGCGCAAAGACTCACGTCAATCGGCGATTGGCACTTGGGTAGTGTTACTTGTAAGATCTTAAAGATTATGTTGTAGGAGTTACAAATTTTTCCTTGCATTTTCCTAGATTATGCAGGGAATCAAAAACTGGGTACGAAATTGGGAAAATTAGACGTTTTTTTTCGAAATCTTTCCAGTGTTATAATCGCTCCAGAAAGTCGAAAAGAAATTCTAGGTATATATTCAGAAGCAGAATTTTATCAGCTTTCAGGTGATCTAAGTTTCAAGTCTCTAGCTTTTCTCAAACTTAAAATATCTTAATTTAGGTGCGACATCAACATTTCATCCCGCGCACGTCAATCGTACCGACAATTTCCGACGGTAGTGTATTTTAATGTTCACTGAGGTATTGAGTAAAACCGTAAATTCACCCATTCAAATAAATTGAAAATGATCAACTTATGCTTAATATATGCAAAATTTCAATCTTTCTCTATTTCTCGCTTCTTACCGGGATACTTGAAATTAATGTTTTCTTAAATTTTTGTAAGAAATAATCAACTGTTTCTATATGGGGTGAAACTGAACGCAATGTTGGGATTAAACCACACACAAATTTTTGGTGTATTTCAAAAATTTCCTTAGTATTTAAAAATATATTTTCAAATTGTAGTGCTTTAATTTTTTACCTGATGATTGTAAAACTAAAACTTAAAAAATGTATAACTAAAGAAAAAGATTGGAATTTAACCAATTAAATTTTTATTATTATTAATAATAAATGTAGACATGTAAGAATATTCTTAAAGCATTTTCAATATATCTAGTATGCGTTCATTTTTTAGATCAAATCAATACATCTAGGGGACGGATACTACGTATCAGAAATGGCCTGGGACTTAATATCTGTCCAAAAAGACAATAGTAAATTTATTAAATATTTGGCAACAAGTATGTTTAAGGACCACATACTTGCTAATTCATATTTACAAAATAATAATGAATTAATACAAATTCCTGGCAGGTCGCCAAGAAGAAAATTATCTTCTCCAAAAAAGAGAGTATTGATTAGTAAGTAAAAATTTTTATTTCATTAATTAAACCTACTTTTTAAAATAATTAGTCATATATTTTTATTAATTCAAATACCAGATGTTAAAAGGACATGTGTGTGAAACCATATACTTCAACTTTAACCCGCATGTTTAAAAATTTTTTTTTTGAATTTTGATTTTCTAATTTTAAATTTTTATAAATAATGAAATTTTGCAATTTTTTTCTCAACAAATTATTTTTGTTGGAGTAATTTGTTTTAAAAATAAAAGCAAAAAACTTTATTTTTAATAACTAAAAATTTTAATAATTCTTAGTTCAACTCGTCATAAATTCAAAATTGGATTCAAATTTTTTTCTTTTGCGGCCTAGAATTAAAAAATAATCAGAATTTTTAAAAATCAAAAATTTTTAATAAATTTAATAAAATTTGTTTTCAGATTGTTTCAAAGATCGCTTAGACAAACTAAACTTCAATAATGTGTCTAAATTATTAGAAGTAAGGAAAGTGGGGTTTCATTTGAGCCAACATATTAATACTGTGAGGCGACGATTGTACCCGGAGACAATCAAAAGTAAGTTTTTTAATTTTTAAATTCTTAACAAAATATACTAATTGCGACAGAAAGTACTTGATTAATTTAATTATCAATTGAGCGCCTGAATCGTAGAAAGGCACGTAAAGGACCCCGCAGGAAATATATTAAATATTGCTTTTGGTTAAATTTTTTAAAACTTTTTTTAGATAGATTTTAGCATGTAGAAAAAAAGTTTCCTTTGCAAAAATGTCCTATTAACTATACTTTCTAAGATATTAAAACATAAATGTTAAATTTAAGTAACATTAGAATTACAAGATAACGTTAAAAAATGTACAATTAATTATTATTTTTTTGTCAACCATGTATTGAAGTTACTCTTTTGAATTCTTAAAAACTAACATTGGATTCGTGATCTGATATTGCAAAAACCTCTGACTAGTGATTTTCATGAGTTTTGCTCAACATTTTAAATTTTTTGTTCCGCCATATTGGATCGACCATTTTGATTATTGAAACTTGTAATCATCGACTCAAAAAAACATAAGTACCACTGTATTTAGTATTTCATAATATTAATTGTACTTTTTTTTACGTTATCTTGTAATTAAAATGTTACTTAAATTTAAACTTTATGGTTTAATATCTTAGAAAGTATAATTAATAGGACATTTTTGCAAAGGAAACTTTTTTTCTACATGCTAAAATCTATCTAAAAAAAAGTTTAAAAAAATTTAACCGAAAGCAATATTTAATATATTTCTTCCGGGGTCCTTTACTTCAACGAAAACGACCTCCCCACTCCATGCGAATCATTCAAATAATGATCTTCTTTTGTTCACAGAAAGAAGATTGAATACTGATCATCAAGAGTAATTGGTGAGAATGGAGCTCCCAAATGTAAACTAAATAAAATAAAATTTGAGTATCCTTCGAACAAAATGAATTTATAATTTGTCCATACAATATCACCTTTTCAAATTTAATTTTTTTATCTTAAATTATATACGTTATTAAAATAAAAAGTTAACTCTAGTAATAAAGTTAAATAAACATAAGTGTATAATTCAATTTTTCTTTCAATAAAATAAAAACCTGAAAACTTTTTTTTGTTTAAATATTCAGAAGAGTTTTAAAATTTTTATTTAAATAGTAACGTTTTAAGTGAAGATTTATTAATATTAATATTTTTTAAATCTTTAATTGTCAAATTATTATCATCAAATCTATTTTATTACCAATTTAATTAAAGTAAAGATCTTGCACATGGATTTTTAATAGGGATGTGTGTCAAAAGTTAGTAAATAACAAATAATTAGTTGTTTAAACAATTACTAAATTGTGAAAATAATATAATATCTCGATTTCATACTACTCAGCTTGATTAACTAAAAAATGTGAAAAAATGTTCAACTTGCCAGGTTATGTGTATCAAAAGTTAGAAAATAACAACTATTAATTGTTTAAATAATTGTTAAACCTATAACCTTCTGTTGAATGTTTGTTTGTTATTATAATTTCTTCGACAAATTGCAAAACGACAAATAACAATTAACTATTATATTATTGTGGTTATCTTTGTACCTTTCTTGAATTGACAAATTTTTTAAATAAACAATATAAAGAAATTCTATTTTTCACATGATTTATTAATACTAAAGAAAAAATAAAATTATTATTAAATTTTTAATAGAATTATAATTATACGTATAATAATACGTAAAATTATATGTATTATTATATGTATTATTATACGTATAATTATATGTATTATTATACGTATAATTATACGTATAATTATACGTATAATTATACATATAATAATATATATAATTATACGTGTCTATATTTTATAATATTTAGGTATATATTAATAAACAAAAATATATCCCTATTGAAAAAAAAAAAAATTATACGTATTATTATACGTATTATTATACGTATAATTATACGTATAATTCTTGTTTCAAATTCGTATGTTTTATTATACGTATAATTATACGTATAATAATACGTATAATTATACGTATAATAATACATATAATAATACATATAATTATACGTATTATTATACGTATAATTATACGTATTATTATACATATTATTATACATATTATTATACGTATAATTATACGTGTTTTTTTCAATAGGGCTTGCTATTACCGGTTCCGAATTCGTCCAAATTCAAGAGAAAATCAGTTGGTAAGGAAAAAGCAACTGACAACGGAAAAAAATAGGCAAAGTAGGCCTAACTATGTTCATCGAAATAGAAGCTGTAAGTTCATTAATGAGAATAATATTGGTAATAAATTTTTGTTGCGAAACAGTTTATCAAAAATTTCGTTTAAAAAAAAATTTTACAGATGAATACGAATGTAACGGAGTTCATAAAGGAAAAACGGACAAATAGTTCTGGTTCTGTACAACCTTACATTCTTCTCATCAATGGGGAAACTCCAAACTACTTTGTCATCGCAGATGACCATCCGCTTCAAAGACATGCTAAGTCTGATATTATTTCAGCGTTCGATTTATTGTTCAAAACGTACTACGTTTTAAATTTGGAATATCCGGTCCATTTAAAAAACTTTTTCATGTTTATCGAAACTTATATTTTTAAGATTAAAAACCAAAATTTAAGTAGCGCTGTGAGTTCACTGAACGTGAACTTAAACAGTCTTTCATAACTATTCACTAATAAACTTTTAATTTTTTTCGATAATTTTCATAAGATTCTTCTAATTGTTTAAATGTTTACATTTTATTAAATTATAACTAAAATGTATTAGTAAAACCCGGTTCTGACATTCTGCGAGTAATATGTAATACAAATTAGCGCAAGTGAGTTACGTTTATTAGACTTTTATTTGACTTAGTTATAACGTTAAAAAATTTAGTTCTTTTAAGTAAAAGTACGAATTACATTAAAATGTTCGGGTTAACTGAATAGGGTAAATGCGCTAGTATTCGGACCCTTAAGGACACAATTTTATATTTTGCATTTTTTTCGAAATAATAAATAGTTGCAATTTTTTAAAGCATATTATAAATTAAAGGACTCATTGCCTGCATTTACTCTATCTTTTAATAAGTAATAAATTTTTGTTTTTAAAGTGCGCAATCACTTTGATGAGAAATGTGATATTAAGAAATGTTTTTAGGTTTAAATAACAGTATTATTATGCAAACAAAATGACTCTAATTTAAACAAAAAATATGCTGAGTTATAATTTTTTATTATAGTTTATAAAAAAACTTTATGCGTTAAAAAGGTTTTTTTTCTGAAATATTTCTATTATTAATACAAGTATTTTCTTAAACATTTGTATAAACTGAATGAAAATAAATATTATGCTTTCACAACAAAACACGTTTCACAGATATTTATTTCTAATTAATTTTGGTAAGAGGGCTTTTGATCTTGAAATTTAAGAGATCAATTTAGAAGTTCGAAACCAAAGGCCATCTTACCAAAATTAATTATAATAAGGTCTATATTGAAAAAATTACTTCTTTATTTCTATTTGAATAAGGCAAAAGAATTTAACTTATTGAATAAGTGTATTTGCACTCATTCAATAAGTGAACATAAATCACGTCTTTCATAAGTGAATATTTACTTATTTTAAGTGTGCATATTCTCTTATTCATAAGTGTATATAAACTTATGAATAAGTGAAAATAATTCACTTATTGAATAAGTGAATATTCACTTATTCTACGTGGAAGACTTTTGAAACATGGAATAAGTGAATATTCACTTTAAATAAGTGGAATTTCACTTATTCAGATTTAGAGAGTAATATCTTAAAATGGACATAATAGAAAAATTTAAGGTGTTACATAATAAAACCTTATTCCTTACGTTCTGAACATAAAGGTTAATAAACAATTAGTTAGCATTGAAATTGTTTATTAACAATCTACTTATCTAAAATACTACATATAGGGCTTGTTGGGTGCGTAATTCTGTTGGCCATGCGGGAAAGATGGCCAATTTAAATATTTTATATAGAATTTGCAGCTAAGTATCGCTTATTAAATATCGCTTTGTTTTGTGTCAAAACACAATTAAAAAAAATTGACGAAAAATATTAAAAAAGTAAGTAAAGAACTGATTTGTTATTTTGACTATAGTTTTGAAAAAAGTGATGAGTTTACGTTTCCCACTGGTATTATGTTATTTTGTAGAATAATTTTGAATTTCATTTTTTTTAAAGTACATGAGCCAAGCTTTGTCATAACTTTACATTTCTTCAAAAATTTTATTTATTTATTTATATTTTAGTTGTGTGAATTTTTCTCCTGACATTAGGAGAGATGGCCAAGTTTTTTCGAGGTGTGATAGCCATACTGTTTAAGTTATTATTGGCACCCTTGAGATTCGTGTGTTCGTTAGAAAAAACATTAATTTTGTAGCAAATGACATTTTTCATGACATTTATTGCAACAAGAGACTCCAATAAGGATTTTCAAATTTAAATATGATCAAATAAAATAATCACTATTGTAATTATACCTTAAAAACGTGTATAAACCGCTGGGTTAGTAGAAAAAAAGGACACGTCGGATTTTCGTTGAAAAAGAGGACACGTCGCGTTTGAGTTGAAGAAAAGGACACGTCGAATTTTATATTTTTTTAAGAAAATTTAAGTTGGTAACACTTTTTTTGAGGTTGACATTTAAATACTAATTTATTAATAATAATTTAATTAATTTAATAATAATAAAAATTGTTATTTTATTTTATGGTGTAATTATTTGTCTTTTATATTTAAGTTTTATTTCCTACAATCAAAATATTTTTTATCAGTTTACACATAAACGACCCGAAAAATTTTTGAAGTTATAAATTTTTTGCTGGACATACATCTTTCATCTTTTAATAAGGATAATTATAATTTTAATTTTTGTAACTTAGCGAAAACTGAAAATTGTATTAAACAAAAATATTAATTAAGATAGAATTACAAGGTTAAAATTTCAATATTATAATTTAATTTTTAACCATTCTAACCAATATAATTTATTTCAGTTAAGTGATAAATAAATAAATATTTAAATGTCAACCTCAAAAAAACTGTTACCAACTTAAATTTTCTTAAAAAAATATAAAATTCGACGTGTCCTTTTCTTCAACTCAAACGCGACGTGTCCTCTTTTTCAAGTTGGTTCTACAATGGGCACGATAGTACGTACACGTCTGACGTGGACGTGTACGCGCTGACGTCACAGACGTGCTGTTGCCAACTGTTTCGACTTGGCATCTTGCAGCAAATGTTTGTTAAGTGAACTATCAGAGACAATGATAATAATTTTAGTTTACTTTTCACAATAATAAGTATAATTAGTGTAAGTTCAGAAATTGACAATGCAGTTTAATTATTAAGCAGTGAAATGTATATAGAATATACATGTTATTTTATTGATTGTTGTCTTGTGAGAAAAGTGAGGTTATGGTTACACTTTGTTTGTGTTCATTTAATTATTTTATTTTGCCTTTTTTGTAAAAGTATTTATTAATTAATATGATTAATTACTAAATTGAATTTAAATTGTAAAAATTATAAAATTGGCAGATAATTTGAATTATATTTGAGTAAATAAGTAATACGATCAAAATGAATTAACATCAATAATTCAAATATATTCCATTTTTAAATAATTTTAATATGATTTTGATTAAGAGATAGAAATTAATTCTCCAGATGGTTAATTTATTTTTTTGGTTTCCATATCTTTTAAGATTAATTAATAAAGTATTTGAATTCGAATCGCAGTAACTGAAAAAAGACTAAATGAAGGGTAAAATAACAAAAGTAGCCAAGCGCCAATTATTTTAATTTAATATTTTTCTGTACAAAAATGAAGGAAATTGTTTTCAACATTTC